TTTAATAACAAACAACTATTGCAATAGACAATAGAACACCTTTTAAATATTTGATAGCATAGTTTTCAACCAACAAAAAGTCTATAGAGTACAAAAAGAAATAATAGCAGAAGTCAAGATTAATTTAAAAAAACTGCAATTTGCCATTACAACAAAGAAATAAGTAATTTATATTATAAACAGTATTATTACTCTATGTCTTATCTATTATTTATACTCCTCATTTTTTTTTTTTACAAATAAATTCTCTTAATAAAGCATGCATCTAACTAGTAAAACATAAGGCAAAACTAGCATGAAGAGTTCTAAACTCTTTTTTATTCCATTCAGATATCTATGCACTAACTAATTTAGCTTAAATACAAAATTTAGTATTAGTTTTAACATTTCAAAAAAACCTAAACTATTTTAACTTTGATTCCTTATTTTTGAAATTGTGATTACAACAATTACAAGATACAATACTTACAATCATCCTAATTCTGATACAACTTCTAGTTTTTCCATTAACACAAATAAATATACAAATATATCATTTTTTGTACTATATAATATCTATTCTCTTTTTTTTTGTTTTTCAACTTAATCTTTATTGTCTATATGTTATATCTATTCATCTTAAAGTGTTTTTTAACCTCTTTGCTTTCTAATCTATTGAACTATTATGCTTTTTTATTTTTATTTAATCAGTTCTAGTAACTTTTATAGTGCTATTATGTTATTAGTCTTTCATATTTTATATTAAGTAGATGGTTTAGATATATTAAATCTGTTTTACTTATTTTAACTTCATTTCTTTTTTACAGTCATGTTTTTAATAATTCAACTATTTTAGAACTATAATTACTTGTTGTTCATAGCTTACTTTCTGTACTTATATTTATTTTTAGCTTTCTTGTTTTAACTATTATCTAATAGACTAAATTGTTCTTTCAATATAACTTATCTTTTAGTAGCTTTTCTAGTTTTTATATGTCTTCTATTAATTATATTTTTTGGCAACCTTATGTTATTGTTAATTTTATTAACTGCTTTAATTTATTTTTTTTTATTAAGTCTTGCTACTAGACCTCCTGCTTGTTTCATAATTAATTTTTGTTATAAATTTCTACAATTGTCAAGGTTCTTGTATTCTATTATACAATTCTCTAATATTCTTAGCAGGTTGCTTTTTTGTTTTGCTAGATATATCATAAGTTTGTATATTTTATTTTTTTTTTCTAACATCTTTGTTAATTGCAATATATAGTTTAACTTTGGTATTATTATCATATTATTTATATAAATAATCTGACATATTGTTATTTTCTTATATTTAAGTTTTTTATTGTTTGGCTTATTATTTTTTTTGTTTTTTTTACTAAAATTTCTTGTATTTTGTTGTTTAGTCAGATTTTTAAAGAATGAACTATCTTATTTCTTATTTTTTTATTATCTTGCTTTTTCTAAATATTATCTTTTTTTTTTTTTAACTTTATTATTTATTATTATCAGTTTTAATTTAGATCTGTTTATTTCTATATTATTTATTTAAAAATCTCTTCTGCTAGTTTTAAGATTTTTAATAACTGTTCTTTATTGTTTGTAATTTATGTTGTATTATCTGCATATGTAATTGTTACTTGATGATTACTTGTAATATTGTTACAATGTATTCTTTCTTTGGTTTTTTAATTTATTGTATAGTCTAATCTTTTATTTTTTTGTATATTTTCTAATCATATTAGTAATTATATTATTTTAATTTGATCTATTTCATTTTTTATTATTATTTCTTTTGTTTAACTATAAACTGTTATTATTTTAAATTGTTTTTTATAAAAGAAATTTAAAATATACTTGATTGTCTTTTTAATTATTTTGACTTTTTGCAGAACTAGTTCAAGACTTTTAAATAAGACTAAGTCAAATGTTTTTTTTATAACTTATAAAAGTGTTCTATAGCTTTTTGTTCTTTTTTGACTCTTCTATTATTATGTTTAGAATATATACAGATTGTTCTATTGAATTTTCTGAAAAAACTATATAATTTAGTTCTTTAATTTCTTTTTTTTAATAAATATTTTACTAAACTTTTTTGTAATTAACTTTGTTACAATCTTTTTAAATATTTTAATTAGTATTATTAGTTAAATGTTATTTAAACTATATTTTAGCCTGTGGGTTAATAGCATAGTAGTTAGTGCTTTTAGGTCATAATTGCAAGATTACAAATTTGAATTCTACTAGGTAATAACAACTTTATAAGAACCATGATTGGAAGATTTTTAGAAGATTTTTTATTAGAGAAAAGAACAAAATTTATATATAAGAATGCAGTTTGCCTGCATAGTTACAAAATTAAAAATAATTAAAAAAAATAAATTTATTAACAAATGATGTTAATATTAAAAAAACCTAGCTAAAAGAATTAAAGAACATTGAATATAAAGAATAATCTAACTGATAGATTATATGAAGTTAGAAAACTGCAAATTGAATAAAAAGATAGTAGGTTCTATACCACAAAGCCAAGGACTCAAGATATTATATGATAAACTTAATGGAGTATAAACTACCTTTACAAGTATGATGATATATATAGAAGCTATATACTGTCTAATAATTATTACTAAATAATAACTCTAACCATTAAAGAGATATAACAGATTCTAAAGATGTCTAAGAACCTTCAGAAAAGTGAAGTAAGGAGAAAAAAAAAATTATATCTTTATTTCATATTTTTTGGTATCAGATATACTTATATTATTTTTTATTTTATAGATATTTTTTTTGCCTCTAAATATAAATATATATAGGCTTTGAATAGCTTTTATGTTTTCTTTTCTATTTATTTAATTAAAATATAACTTATTTTTAATATTCTAAAAATATTCTTATTATAAATTTTTTAAGTAGTTTATTCTATTTTTTCTTTTTAAATTTTTTTTTAATTTACTATACCATTTTTTTTTAATATAGTTTTGTAATTATAAATTTCTTTTTAGCTTTTTAACATTTCATCTAGTTTAGTGGTTCTTTTTTTAAATTGCTTCTTATAATGTTCTAATATAATTTTTTTTACTAATTCTAACTTTATTACTAGTTTTATCTCATCTTTTGCCTATTTAATTACTTTGTTAAGTATTACCTTTTTGTATAGTTTATTCAAAAGACTGACTATTATTTTTTTTTAAATAGTTTTAATTATTTTATATCTTTTGTTTATGTTTTTTTATATTTATCTTCTTTGTTCTTGTTTTTTTTTCTTTTTTTTTTTTAAAGAATTTTTTACTAATTCCTTAAGTTCTTTATCTAAGTATCAAACTATTGTCTTTGAATTTTTAGTAATCTTGTATCTATTTTCTTATCTAATACTTTAAGTCTTCTATTTATCTCACTTTTTTTATTTCTGTAACTTTCTGCTTTTTTTTTGTCTTTCATATTTGATTAATCTTTAAAGCTTTACAATGGTCTTTTCTTATTATTGATCTTTTTGACTATGTCTTCTGTTTATTATTATATTGTGAATTTTTTTCTTAAATATATATTTATTTGTTATTGTTATAATTATTTTTTTTATTAAGTTCAATATTTTGTTTATTTTTTATATCTTTTTTTCTTTTTGGATATATTTTAATACTTCTTTATTTTATAATTCTTGTATATAGTTCTTATACTTTTTATCTTTTATTTTATTATAGAAATATATTGTTGTTAATTAGCTTTTATTTTTGATTTCTACTTTGTTGCTTTTTATTATCATATAGTTCATCTATATTTCTGTTATTATTAGTTTGTAATTACTTTTAGTAACTTCTTTTATGTCTTCAATTTCTGTTTTTTATAAATCTGAAACTAGTTCTTCTAATATTCATATATAATTAATTTTTGTTATTGTTTCTATATTTGATCATTTATATCTTTATTTAGTTGGATATATTTTCTATATATGTTATAAAAGTTTTGTTATTTTATCTAGTTAAATATCAGTAATTTTTTGAAATTTGTAACTTATAAATTATATCTATCTAATATATTGTTTATTGTATAATAGAAATCACCTATAATAACTACTTGTATTTGATTTTTCTTTTTTTTAACAATCTACTATTTTTTGTTAATTGCTTCTTACTACTTCTTTGATATTTAATGATATATAAACCTCTATTACTATTAACTCTATTTGCTTGAAATAAAATGTAATTTCTATTATATACTTAATTACACTTACATGTTTTTATCAATGTTCTTCTACCAAAATCCTTATACTTAATCTTTTTTTCTTGTCTTCTGCTACACTACACCAATACCTAGTATATCTTTTAATTACTTTGTGTGTTAAGAATTTCCTATTCTTTCTGTAAGATTTATTTTCATAATTAAAATTTTATTAATGATTTGAAAAAGAAAAAATTTAAAATTTTTCCTTTTTTTGATTAGTATAATTTTAACTGATGGTACATATAGTTAATCTGTTATACATATAATTGAGGTCAATTTTTATATCACCGTGATAGGGTCAGGCAGATAATTGACTAACCTGTCACAGATTTCAGAAATGCGGTAAAATTCATGTAACAATGCACTATTCAATGTAAAGTTACATTACAATTTTGTAAGTTACAATGTAATTTACAGAAACGTAAAAAATAATTTATGTAATGCATCCTTACTTAATATTCGTTATTTAAAGATTCTTATAAACCTAAAATTTCGAGTTGAAAACTTTTGTTTAGAAGTCAGATTGTTGTTATTATAGTAAAATCTTATGTTATTTATGATTTTTCTGTATTCTCGAATTTTTTAAGTTGCACGTGATCTTGTATTTATCCGGGCTACAATCAACAATGGTCGACATAACCTGTCACAAATTTTAGAAGCGATCTTCAAGATATTGATCTTACTTTTTTATTTTTGAATAATATTAAAAAACATATAAGATGCATTGTTTTAAACAAAAAGTCATAAGTCTTTTTTTTTTTTTATAAAAATATACAACAGATATATAAACTTAAATATTAATTATTTATAATACTATTATTGCTAATCCATTTTGTTAAAACATTTTCAAGTTGATTAGTTTTTAAAGGTTTTGATAGATAATCATTCATTCCTGACTTAATATATTTATCACCTATTTCTTCTAAGGGTAAAGATGTTAATGCGATAATCGGTATATCTGAAATTGGCGGTTCCATTAATCTAACTGTTTGTGAAAAGTCAAAGCCTGATATTGTTGGCTAATTCATATAATTATAGGTAATTAATAATTATGACAAGTAAATATCATTACAGAAATTCAATCAACTTACTAAATTACATTCTGTTAAAATTAAAGAAATTCTGCAAGGCTTTATTATAGTTGATAATTCAGATTCTGATTTTATTATGTCAATTGCTTCTTGACCATTTGTTGCAAAAACTATTGAATAACCAAATTCTGAGAGTTGTTGAATCGCGTTCTAAAAAAATAAAAATTAACCAATAAATTTGTAAAAAGATGTATTTGAACATTTCAATTATATAATTACCTTTAAATCAATAGAGTTATTATCCTATAAATAGAAATTGAATAAATATTGGTCATTGTCTTAATACTGTCCGTATATGACATTTAATTAGCAGTGATTAAACAAAGCATACCACGCATAGGATACATTTATTTTTAGAAACGGATCTTGATCTACTTTTAGAATATTTTTCATTTTCATTTTCGAATAAATCTAGATTTTCATCTTTAATTCTTTTCAAAGTATTTGTAATCTCACTTATACTCTCACCAAGAAAATTTGAGTCGATAATATTATTATAGGTATTACTCAAATTTAACAATTGACTAATAAGCTTTTTCCATGTAATTGGAGTATAAATAATAGCAGTTTGTCCTTTAACTTTTCTAATTACTCTTTCTGCCAAATCTTTTCCTCTATCACCCAAAGGCACTATAAATGTTATTAATAAATCACTACCACATAAATTTATTTCTCTTAACTCAGTTACAGTTCTTATAACCTCTTCTTCGTCTTTTTCATAAAGTCTAATAAATACTATATCATACGTAGATTGATTATCTAATTCTTTATAATATTTCATTTCTTGAATACCTTTATCAAAAGTATCAAATGCATCAACTTTTCCTATACTTTCAAGATATTTAACCATAGCAATTCTTGCACTTTCTACAGGATGAATTATTAACATTCTTTTTAATTTTACAGAAGGTGACAATGAATTAAATGGTAATTGAGTTGTAGGTGATTTTGATGATGATGATGATGATAATCCAATATTCCATGTAAACCAAAATTTACTTCCTTTTCCTAATTGACTTTCAGCATTAATTTCACCACCATTAATTGATACTAAATTTTTACATATTGAAAGACCAAGTCCTATACCATCTTGTCGTCTAGTTATTGATGAATCTACTTGTGAAAAACTATCCCAAATAGATTTCATGTATTTATATTCGATGCTATTATATTTATATTAAGATTATTATATTGCATAATTGTAGTACTAATGCGTAATTACTAATAATTACTAAATAATTACTAAATAATTACTAATAATTAATAATTACTAATAATTAATAATTACTAAATAATTACTAATAATTAATAATAACTAAATAATTACTAATAATTAATAATAAGTAAATAATTATAATTAACTTACCCAATACCAGTATCATGTATTTCAATTAATAAATAACTATTTGTATCAATTTCTTCTGAAGTTTGGTTTTCATTATTAGTTTCTACTGGATGAATTGAAACATCTATTACAATTTCACCGGCCTCAGTAAATTTTATACTGAATAGGTTAAAACGGTATAATAATAATAAAAAGTTATTATGAAATTATAACGAAATGTAACTAATGAACAAGCCAAAAAAATTTATAAAATAATTACGAATTTGATAATAAATGAAATAAAACTTGTTTCAGTCTATACAACAAATGAAATAAAGTTAATGATAGATACTTATGTGTTTATTTTTATACAAAAGTTATTTATTTACAAATAATTACCTTTCAGAATCACTTTTAACATATCTTGGAAACTTGTTCAAATCATAATTTAAGATTATTTCAATTTGTTTGTTTCCAGCTTTTTCTACAAACATCTCAATTGTATTTTCAAATAAAGCCATTAAATCAAAACTTTGTTTTGTTAATGTGACTTTATTTGCTTCTAATCTTGCCACATTAAGAATATCATTTACTAAAGATAATATAGTATCAGAAGCACGTAATGTTATACTAATCATTTCTTTTTGATAATCTTCTAGAGAAGCATCATCGAAGGAAGAAAGAATGCCCACTATAGCACCTAATGGAGTTCGTAATTCTACAAGAAAAAATAAAAAAAAGAAGTGAATTATATTTAATTATTAAATTAGATTAAAAATATTATAACAAATTTATTATATAAAGATATTTTAAATTCTTATACCATGAGAAGTATTTGCTAATATTTGACTCTTTGTATTATTCGCAATTTCTTCAATTTGTATTTGCATTTCTTTTTTTAAATTCTCTTCACTTAATTCTTTATAAGTAATAGCTAAACCTATTTGATTTGATATTTGTTGTAATAAATCTATTTCTGTATCGAGCCAAATAGAATTTGGTGGTCTATATAATTTAATCCATCCCCAATAACCATTATACATTCTTATTTCTATAGATATCATTGATACATTTTTACAAATATCAGTACAATATGTATCAAATGAAATATTTATATCAGAATTATTATTATTAAAATTTAGGTAAGATTCTTGTAATGAATCTTTAGATATTATTGAAGTTGTATTAATATTTATAGGACTTTCATATGAAGCAACTATTTCAAATTTAGATTGTTTACATGAAACAATGGATATTCTTTCACATGGTAATACATTATGAATTTCTTTAATAATATCATTAAATGTATCTTTAAGATTATATCCAGAAAGAAATTTGCTTGAAATTAAAAGTAGAAATTGTTTTATTTCTTCTTGTTTGCATTGATGATATAATATTTTACGTCGAAGATGTGATAGTTTAATATTAGAATAAATTCGTGAAATTAATTCTCGAGCTGAAAATGGTTTTGATAAATAATCATCAGCTCCCTTATCAAATCCTAAAAAAGATCATATAAAAAGTTAAAATTATGTAAAAATATAATATATGTTCAAGTTCAATATTTGAGACAAAATATGTATAAAGAAAATTTTGAAAGGTTGATTATTATATAATTATACCTTTGATCCCAGCTTCTTCATCAGCTTTTGCAGATAATAAAATTATTGGAATTAATTGAGTTTTTATATTAGACCTTAAAGTATCTAATAATTTATACCCATTCATATTTGGCATCATGATATCTATTGAATTCGAATAATTAGTACATATAGATGGATACAACTTTTTAAATAATAAAAATAATTAGATGTTTGCTTGCCAGTAAGAATTAAATCTGGGAGTTCTTCAAGTTTTTTTAAAATCCTTATTGCATCTTGACCATCACAAGCACGATATACATCAAATTCTCTTAATAAGTCTGCCAAATAATTTCTGTAATTATGGAAAATAATAATAATAAGAAATCATGTATGTACAGTAAAATCCAAATTCATTAAACTAGTATTATTATTACCGCATATCAGTGTTGTCATCAACAAGGAGAATTTGATATTTTTTCCTAGAGATATTTAAAGATTCCACTTTAAATGAAGGAAACGAAATTTCACTCGTCGAAATTTTATCATTATCCATGTTATGATCATTATCCTGAACTTTGAATTGATTATTTTGTATCCATTGTGAACTTTCTTCTAAATATAATTGTCTTTTTAAATATACTAATTGATCTCGATCTTTGAAATTTTCTTCAAAATTATTATGATATACTTGATTCTTTGGTAAGTGATCATATCCAGTTAGAAAATAACATTTGAATGTTGTTCCTTGATTGAGTACCGAGGTTACAGTGATGTCACCACCATGATGCGTAATTAGTTCTTTAACAAGAGCGAGACCAATACCTGTACCCTCATAACTACGTGAACTTTGCTTATCTACACGATAAAAACGCTGGAATATATTTGGAAGTGCACTTTCTGGAATGCCAACACCTAATTTAGTTGTAAAAATAAATTAAAGATTAGTTGTTGTAAAGAATAAATTAGTAGTTTAATTTGATAGAGTGTGTATTAAAAATATTAACCTGTATCAGAAACTTCCAAAACTATTAAATTTTTTTCATTTTCCTCGTCTTTATGCTCAAGATATAAACGAATACAAATGTGTCCATACCAAGTATTCTTTAATGCGTTTGATACTTCAATAAACAAAAATATCTCAGTATAATAAAATTTTGCATTTTCACGATTTAAATTATAATTATAAGTAAAATACTTACATAAATTAAATAGAATTGTTTCATACATATCATGATCTAGATAAACTTTATCTCTCACAGTCTGGCTAAACAAATCTTGATTTGGAATATCGATAATATAATCCAAACCTAATACTTTTGCCATGCTTTCAAAATCAGTGGCTAATTCTCTAGTAAGTTTGGCAATATTTGTTTCACGATAATGTGCTTCTAATAAACCAGATTCTGCATTTGAAAACTAAAAGAAAGATGAGTTACTATTAACATAATATTTTCGGAATTATACTAATTACATACACATTAACTATATCATAAATGTGAAATTTAAACCATGACGTTATAATAAAGTATTAATTTTTATAGATGTCGTTATATCATAGTGTTTTGTATATAAAACTTACTTGAAGCAAAGTATTGATCATCTTAAATAATCGAAACGCACTACGTCGTATAATTTGAAGATGGGACATTATAGGGGAATCTCGTGAACATTTATCAATTAATTCTTTAAGCGGTGAAAATACCAAGTTTAATGGTACTAATGGAGTTATAAAATAATATAAAATAATGTAAAATAATGTAAAATAATGTAAAATAATGTAAAATAATGTAAAATAATGTAAATTAATGTAAAATAATGTAAATTAATGTAAATTAATGTAAATTAATGTAAATTAATGTAAAATAATGTAAAATAATGTAAATTAATGTAAAATAATGTAAATTAATGAAAAAGAATGTAAATTAATGTAAATTAATGTAAATGATGTAAAATAATAATAGTAATAATAATAATAATAATAATAATAGTAATAATAATAATAGTAATAATAGTAACAATAAATAGTAATAATAATAGTAATAATAACAGCAATAATAACAATAATAATAACAATAATACAGTAATATATAATATATAATAGTAATAAGTTTATTAATAACATTAATAATATCCATGGGAAAATTTAAATGCACATAGTTAATTACATACCTTTTAGTTCGTTACTGATATTTTGGAAAAACATGTCTTTTTGATTATTTAAATCTGCTAATAATTTCGACTTCCTTCTTTCTTCTTCTATAGACCATGCATGCAGCAAAGCCGTGTTCATACAACTTGTGATCGACTAATAATTGACAAGTATTTTGGTTGAATAATTAATAAATAAACTAGGAACCGAAAATTGGTATAGCCTGGAGCTCGCTCTAGCCCCTGAAAAGTCTTGGTTTGTATGCCATAAATCAAATTTTTCAGGGGCGTTACATCCGAAATACCAAAACTACGTTTTTGATATTTTTTACTATAAATGTATCAAAAACGTAATTTTAGTTAGTTATCAAAGGGTGTAGAATTATGAGTCTGTCGCTTTGCTCCAGACATTAAACAATTCGGTTCAAATAATAATTTAATTGCTGTGTATAAAATTTTGTATTGCATACTTTTAAAAATTCCACGTATTGGTAATCAGGTCTACGAAAAGGATTAACGCCAAAGATCAATATAACCGATGAGTCATTTTCTTCGCCACCAGATGGAAATTTTGTTGGTAAAAGGATAGCTTGAGTGCCATCTTTTAGAAGAACATTTATTTGTTTAAATTCCTTTATTGCAAGATGAATTGGCCACTCTTCACATTTTATGAATGAATAAGTTGACCCATCTAATTTTACTTCCATATATTCATCATAGTTTTTATCATATTTAGTTAAATCAATTATTTCAAAAGTTTCTGGAAAATTATCAGGGAAATGCCTTTTCAATTTCCCATGAACAAAAGTACTATCATCATCATTGTCAAAGGTTGTAGAAATTAAACGAGCAATCTTAGATTTGGAACTAGTTGATTCATTATGAGTTTCGATAAAGTAAATTAATGCATAAGGAATATCTGCATTGTTGTCTTTATCTACATTGTTTTCTTTTAATAATTTAGTTGTAATCTGACAGATGCTTTCCCAGGACTCAGCCTCTTTTTTTTTTAAAAAAAAAAGTGAATATGAATAAATATCATGGCATTAATTTTTTTATAAATATCATGGCATTAATTTTTTTGCATTGTAATTAATAACCATTGATAATATTGATAATATCGATAATATTGATATTATTGATATTATTGATAATATTGATATTATTGATAATATTGATAATATTGATATTATTGATAATATTGATAATATTGATTCACTAACCAATAAGGCCATTTCTAAGATTGTTAATAGTTTTTAATCTTCGAACAGTCAAGACTTTTTGAGTGACTTCATATGTAACACCAAATACACCAAAAATTATACCATCCGAATTAAAAATTGGACTAAATGTATAGTTAAAGTAAGCCTTTTCTCTATAACCATGACGGTGTGAATCTGAACAAAAATTATCTGATAATTCGCCTTCACCAGTTGTTCTTACTCTTTATATAAATTAAAAGAAATTTATTTCATAAATAATTGAGAATTAAAATTATAATTGCTTGTTAAATTATTCAAATTACCTTTCTAATCTGGAAGAAATACGATCAAATACTTCAGGCCAACCCTCATTAAGAGGTTTTCCTAATGCTATTTAATAAAATAAATTTTTTGAATGCAATTTAACGTATAAGTTGAGGTGAAATTATAATAGCTAACCATGAGGATGCCTTGACTTTATTATTGATATCCATGCTATATGTATGCAAATATAAATAATATAAATAATATAAATAATATAAATAATATAAATAATATAAATGATTTAAGTAAACCAAAATTGGTTAACAAATAAGAGAAATGAAAGAAAAGAAACATATTTACAATGATTATAAATCAAAGTCCAGTCAGAACCGACATAAAGAATACTAGGAAATTTGGTATTTAGGCACAGTTCCTAGCATTTGGGTTTACTGTTAAAATTAACGTCATAAAATATCTTTAAATTTAAAAGATTGGCAAATTACCACGATTGATTTAAATGTAGGATCCCATAAATCCATAGGACCGAGCGATGTTGATGACCAATTATAATTATAGACCATATCAACAAATTTTGACTCATCATTTTCAATGTTGTTATCACTGCTGGATAAGGATAATGACATATAAACTAAATGAATGGTTAAGCTATAAAAAAATTAGCAACGTTAGGGATCAGATTTTCATATATGGTTTGATCAAGTGAAGGAAACGATATGCAGAACTATATGCTTTATAGGTTTATACGTAATTGATAAGTATTTATATGCGCATTTGAATTGAAAAGATTGAATTTTTATTAATACATTACGTAAGCAAACGTACTTTAACTAAAAAGAGAGTTAGGTATCAATGGTTTCCCGTACTCCGTATGCAAACTATAGGATAGTATTAATTATAAGGAAAGAATAAATTTAGTAAACTGGGTTGGGCAAATTTTGTAAGTTACATTTTAACTACATGTAACATACATAATTTTGCAAGATACACTTACAAGTAATACAAACCCTTAAAAACAAAATTTCGACTATTCCGGATCGGCCCGACAAGAATTCCGAACACGTGTGAAAGAAAAACTAATCTTTAAATTGACTGTGGTGTACTAACGCTAAATAAAATGTCGGAACAAATTTTACATATAACGAATGATAATTTATTGTTATAGCCTCTAATGTTAACGTCCTAATCCTAAATTTATATTTTTACCCACTTGGTTTATTCAAAAAATTCGATGTCCTTTTTTGGTTTACGTTACTCGCAATAACGATAAGTAAATTTGTATGTGCGTACTACGTATTTTGTTTCAAAAATCGTAACATATGGTACCACCTGATTGATAAACTAATGTGTTACTACGCAACGTTAATACGTGATTTCTACTATTATATATGCCGTGCATCAGATTAAAATTTGAATTTAAATGTGGGTTTTATTAAGGTTAGGGTGGGTACCCATCTATGTTAGGAACCAACCACCTAAATCAGTTACATACAGAGTTCATCTAAATAGAAATCGCAAATAGTTTGGGTGGTTAAGCTTGAGGGGTTCTATGTTAGTATTAGCGGAATTATACGTAATGATTTTAATTGACGCACAACAGATATACCAAGAACGGAGTGACGAAATAACGTAGTATATGGTTTATATATATTTAAAGAAAATTTCAAGTACATAGTACGTATAAATCGAACGATATTGTACAAAATTAGATAACAATTAGTGGATATAAATAAAACGACTTTAATTGGTTATTTCCCGACATGTCAGTTACTCGACAGCACGCAGGTGACAATTTGCTAAAAATATATCTACAACTAACTAAATGCTAACCTTAACCCATGTGATGCCGTGTAAATAGTTTTTCAGGATCAACGCTATATGTAATATGTTGGTTTAATACCTGCTTTATCGTTATCGCACAATTTTTTACACCAAACATTATTATGTGTCGATCAATGCTTAAGAGAAACACAAACTAAATACAAACGTCATTACGATATTCGCTGAAACTGGACTTGGTCAGATTTCAGAACTACTCGAAGCTTTTTGAGGGTTAAACAATAAGTGATAGAATTTGATAAACTCAAGAAATTAAAAGAATCCAAAGAATGGTACGTACAGTCGATTCCAAAAGTTTATCACGGTTATACGAAAATAATACGATGAATACAACTGACTCTTGATATAAAAAAAGTCTCCAGATCCAGCCAAAGTCCTTTTTATAACGAAATTTTCTTATATCAAAGACTTATAAAATTTTCGAATAGAACCTGTAAAACCTTTCCTTATGCCATGAGCTTCTTATATCGAAGGTTCCTATAATTATCATAAATTTCTGTTGTTTTTTGTGTGTGACCATGATAAACTTTTGGACCTTAATATCGGAAAAGCATTTAAACCAAATCCAAGGATCCAAAGTAACTTAATAAAATACATTACAATATATAAAAAATAGTGCCAATCACATGAACGGCTATGCCCGGTACTTGTAGAACCCTGCTTTAGGTATACGCACACTGTAAAGCAAATTTGTGATACAAACAATCTTAACTATTTATACCAGTATACCCATACCCATCCGATATCTATTCGATATTTATTCGATATCACATCAGATTAGAAGATTTCCAAATTAAAAAATAAGTGACGCACTTAGGACTTTTTCAATATGTAAAATTTTATTAATATTGAATTATAAATCGGAAAATAAAATAAGATTCTCTGATTTTAGTTTTGAAACCACATCATGCAATCTCCTACGTACAGTACGTACAGGTTATTTATACTTTTACTCATGGAGATTAGCTAAGTAGATTATGTAAGCTTTAACGAAAATTTGGGTAACCATATGATTGATCAGTCTTTTTAACATTAGCTATGCATAATATATTTTTTTTGCATCGAATTTTGATTTTTTTTTTTTTTATGTTATTACTTTTGTAACGATAGATAATGTTAGACAATGTTGTATTAGAATAAATCAAAATATAAGTTAAACCAAATTGTATTAATTATATATAACTTATGAAACTATATAGAATTAACAGCATAATGAATTATAACGAAACAATATAGAGTTAATTATAATGAAACTAATTGAGTTAATAATAATAAGTGAATTCGAAAATAAGTAGGATTTTTTCAATAGCATTTTAACTATGTTGAATTATAAATCGTACAAATAAAATAAGATTCTCTAATTTTTATTTAAAGAATCATTAGAATTTCTATATACAGTATTCAACTTTATCCTACGATAGAAAAGCCAGTTTACAAATTAATTTCTATAAGTTTTTAAGTTCGTGACACAAAGCACAGAGAAAGATCAATGCTATATAAATCGATACAAGTAAAAAAGAAATTATCATGATTTGCAAAATTCTGAATTCAATTGATCATTCGAATAATGTCATAAATCCACAATCGATTGTAATTGTTGTGAAGGTTAAGAACTTCTATTGCGTCAATAAATTCTTTGAGTTCTGATCAATTATTGTATCACAACCTCAATTGATAGTATTCCACTTACGTACTTGTAAGGGGTTAAATGATCTTTTGAAAAATGAATTCTGACCAATTTCTTAAAATGTTTTATTAGAATTTAACTTCAAAGAACTTTTTGATGTAATAGAAGCTCTTACCCTCGGAACAATCTCAATCGATTGTGAATTTATTATTATCACTTGATAATCAATAGAATCCAAACCGCGATAAATAAAAATAACTTAAAAAGGTTAATATTAATAAGGAAAAATTATATAATAGAATTAAACGAAATTGAATAAATAATATTACAATAAGGTAGTTGCGCGACGTAGTCGCGCTAGAAACCAGTAGCGGAAGCAAATATAGTAGTTAACAAATAGTCCAAGTAACGTACAAGCGAGAACTAATCTAGCATTTAATTAATATATTGTGAAGCATTTTATATACGCTATAGGCAATTAACTCACATTAGATAATCAAACAAGGCATCATGTAATAAATTATCTGGTTACCCGAAAATTTGAGTTTCTCTCGTCTTTGACGATCAGAGATTATCATTCTATCAACCCAATAAAAATCCTACGAAAAAAAATTTGCATCAAGTTACCAATTTTTGTGTTTAAAATTCTTGCTTTTACTATAGTTAGTTATCGCAACTACGACATCGCTTACGTTTGCATTTTTTTGTATTCGAATTATACTCTGTAATTACATACAGAATGCATATATCCATATGCGTGATGAATTCATGTGTGAAAACCAACCAAAATTTGATGAATAAAGCATTAAAAATACCAATTAATCTCATGTTTGTTGTTTATTGAAGATTTTTTCAGATGTCTCAGAAAAACGTGCACAACTGCAAAATTCAAAGAATTATTGTGATATTTTTAAGAGAAATAACAAAAAATAAAAATTTGAGTGTGAAACATAACTATAAGAAATAATCTATAATCTAAAAATGATAGAACATTTTAATGATTGATATGTAAGCTAACTAATCTAAGAATGATATTCTTTTCCAATGATTAATATATAATTTAACTAATTCTACATTAATTTGTTGACAATTGGAAAGCGCCAAACTACGATTTACTGATTTATGGGTTTCAAATAATGGTTCTTCACTCCTATTTGAAGAACCATTTATTGTTTTTTCAAAAAATCCTGATAATGCTGCCACTGGATTTTTATCCACATCTTGATATTCAGGTGTTTTTAATAATGTATTTAACCATTCTTTATTCGAAACAATTTTGAAATCTAATCCACATTTTTGTAAATGTGTTAAGAATTCATTCCATGTAATTCTTTTAGGATTAAGTATATGATTAACTCGAATATAATCATTATTGTTTTTAAAAGGTGCATTTAAAGAAATATCAACGATGCTTTGAGAAGCAACGTCAACAGGGATCCAATCAATATTTGAAACATATGAATCCGGCATAATTTTCATTATTTGTGCACCTTTTATAATAAGTGAAATATGTTCTTTAGTATTCCAAACTCCCGTAACCGAATCACCACAAACTTGACCAACACGATGAATATCAAGTTTAAGCCCAATTTTTCGAGACCATTCAACGCATACATGCTCAGTAATGAATTTTGATAGACCATATCCATTAAGTAACGCACT